GCCCCACCCACGGGGTGTGCTGAGCTGGTGTTATTCAGGCATGGTAGTGCATGCCTGTAATCCCAGTGCTGGGGCGGCTGAAAACAGGAGGATCACTATGAGTCTGAGCTGCATAGTGAGATCTTGTACCAAATACATAAAATAAAATAAAATAACCTCCTTTGCTATCCTTTCACTTAACTCAGGTGTACAGCATATGTTATTCTGCCCTCTGGTATCTCCTGGATTGGCTTCAGGGCAGTTGGGAGTTTTGGGGGGCATTCTGTTGCTTTTTCATTTGTGTCTTTTTACAAATTTATTTATGTGTGTGTGTGGCCAGCTCAGCCCACCAGGGGGCGGGGCTGGCTGGCATGTGGTGCTGGAGGATTGAACCGTGGTCCCTGTGCTTTGCGAAGCTTGTTTGCTCTAAGTAGGTGCTTTAGACCACTGAGCCATCTCACCAGCCCCTTCATTTGTGTCTTGCACGTGCTCATTTTGTGCTGAGGTTTGTGGATGCTTATAAAGACTTTGTTACCACTATAAAAGTCTCTAATTGTTTTTCAGTGTTGTATTTAAAGTAGGATTAACTATAATCTTTTAATCTTTTTTCACAGTCCAAGTTATGACACTTTGTTCAGTTTTTGAGTTGAGGATGCATTGATTGTGTTTGGCCCAGCATCCATGTTCTCTGTGAATGTACTCTGGAACTGTCAGTGTTATGCAAGTAACTTGAGGGCTGGCTTACAGAGAGATTGCTACAATATGTGGTCCTGTTAGTATGTGAATCAACCACAGTATTATTAACAAATTAGGTACTACAATGTATCACAATTATTCCTAGGGAAAAGGTCAGAAATCACGATGTAAACATTAGACAACCCAGGTATTAACTTATAGATAATATGTACTGTGGCTTGTTTCCAGAGAACTGGATGCTGAGAAAACTAAGACTATATTCTTCTCTCCCCAAATTGATGATGTCAATCTAATTTTGAGACCGAGGCAAAGACCATAGTTAGCTACCTGTAGAGCACATCAGTGGAAAGCAGGTATTACTAAAGAGATGTGCATAACAACAAGTCTTTCCACTTTAATGCTCTCAATCCTTAATATGTGTGAGGACAGGAAGGAAATAAATAAGGAAAATATGCCTTCAAAAACTTTCAATGCCCCTACGTCTGATTCATGGCATTGATGAGTGAGTCAATGAATACCCAAGTAGCCAAATTTTATGAAATGATAAAAGAGACAAAGAAACAAAAAATCAATAAGATGTTCAGCAAGCTCAAAGATGTTATAACCAAACAGATAATGGATTTAATGAAAATGATCAGTGAGTTTAACAAGACACTAATAAAAAGCAAGATGAGATAAAAAATGGTACAAAATATGGATGAGCAGATTAGCAAAGAATTAGTCCATGCAAAGGTACCAAGTAGAAATCCAGTAGGTAAAAAATTCTACTAAAACTATGGGCAGCAGAAGTGAATTATGGGAGAACAGACTGTCAGAGGATGCAGATGGCTATATAGTCAAAGATGCCTTTAAAAAAAAAAGATCATGAGAAATGCATTCAATAGCTTGTAGAACTTCTTGTACAGCAATTAACCACTAAGAAGAATATATGCAGTGTATTATTTGTTGAAACTGTACTTCCGATTTGATTTGAAACTGTCTCATTGCT